AAAGAATGAAAAAAAGTCACCTTTGCAGAACCAGAAACAACTTGCTTCAAGAATTAATCAGTAAGGATTTGAAAACTTTTAGCTATTACAGGCTTTGGCAGGAGTAGCAAGTTCAAGAGCTGCTCTCCCAGGACTGATCTCCACAAAAGCCAGCTAACTTAGCACCATCTTCAGTAGAAACACTTCTGAGGAACTTGCTTTTACAGGTGTGATAAACAACAGGAAAAGCCCAGTATGGTTATAGCACCCGTCTGCCCTTTCCCCTGTACAATTCCTGAACAGTAATATGGGAACAGAATCTGGTTTACAAGCTAATCATGAAAACTCAAGATCTGGGCTAAGTTACAGAGGAAAACAACAGCATGCTGTTGTGCATTATTTATTCTAAGTACTCTGAGTTCTGACCAGAATAAAGAATACTTTAGATTTTAAAACAAATTCAGTATGTATATTATATAAACTTTTATTTACATAAGGCATCAAAATTGCCCTTTTAAACAAAAGGGTCATTTTCCCTTTTACCAATACTTTGGTGAAAGAAACGTCACATTTAGTAGACTAATACTCACTGGTATACGTGTTCTGAACAAGCAGGTACAATCAAACGAGAAGATGAAAAACCAAGCGCAAAAGATCTATGCATACTATTTCATGAATCACTCTGTAGAACAAAGAATTAAGGCTTGTCTGCATCACGATCATGATCAATCATGCATCATTTATTCCCACAAAAAATAAAATTCCTTTCCAACTGGAACAGGAATAGCAGAAGAAGTAGTCTGGTATAATCCCCATATTGTCTACATCAAAAACCAATTTGGCACCTTAGAAATTAGCTTTAAGAGTAGGGAGAAAGAGAGAGAAAAACAGAAAATGGCCCTTGCTTCAGAATCCTTTCTAAGCATTTCCAGCGTCCATTTGCAGGAACCCTTCAGTTTAAAGAACAGGATTTGCAAGGACTGATCTAGAAACATTCTCAGAAAGACCGGTCATGAGTATGAAATATATACAGAAAACACATTGTTTGGAATAATCAATTCCACACGGAGATCCCCAAGTAAATGGCATATATACATTGAGCTGAGCTTGTTTAATCAGTCTGATTTATAAAAAATCATAAACCTCTATTATGTTTCGGCCTGATTTAACAATTCCTGAGTTTTTAGATTACTGCTGAGCCACAGCAGTCAAAACTCTGAAAGATGTAGTGAAAAGTTTTGCACATCACTTTCAACACTAGCACACGTTTTGTTCAGCAACTTTCAATCATCAATAAAAGTCAGTCTTCCGGGTCCTTCATTTTTCATCCACCGCCGATACCTCTTCCATCGGGGATCCATGGCCATCTTCTTCTTTAGCTCCTCCTCTTGTTCTTGTTTGTAGACCTGAGAGACAGACAAAAGGTTTTAGTAAGGCAGAAGAAACAGCTTAAGTGAACCTCAAGGGGTGAGTGTAAGTGTTTGTAGTTCAACCATTCGCCAGCTTATTGTTTTTACAGGAGACTGAATTGCAACACAGAAGCAGACCTCGGCCAACACAGAGTGCAGGAGTACCTTCAGCCTACCGGAGTCTGGATAGAATACTGCTATGGAACTTTATTCTTAGTTGAGTTTCCCAACAAAGTTAGTATTTCTGCATTAAGTACTGGCAGCATCAAATGATTAAGTAATTACATTCTGTCAAGAAATTGTCTCATTTTAATGAAATTTACAATTACCAGAAAAGCCAATTATTTAAAAAAAAGCAACAGCATCTGTTGTTATTCTGGAAGGCAGTTTATGTAGATATAGCCAGCGTAAATCTCAACACCATACAGGTTTATGTCATCTCGGTGTCATCTGACTTCTTCCTGGAAAGGAATTAAATTTCATGCTCTGCTATGCATGAACAAGATTTAAAAAATATAGATGAATTTATAAATATACCAGCTCAATGTTCAGTGATCACAGAGGTTTTAAGAACTATTAGGTAAGTAACAGAGGGGAAGGAAAAGTACTGTGGAGCTCCATGATGTACCATGTATTGAATTCTTAAGTCTTTTCCATTCTAAAAGGAGAATGGAAAACTGAACAATTTGCAGATAGGCATCTCCAATGATCAAAGAACCGAGAAGCTTTTGGGGAGAAATACCTAAGCATATTTTTCAGCCTAGAAAACACGCAACGAAGTTTCAAGGATATAGTAATGGTACATAGGAGCACAGGTAGCATGAGAAAAAAGAGAATAAAGCATGATTATTCTCCATTTCCAATCATACAACAGCCAGCAGGTGGCTGGTTCAGAAAAAACATCTTCACAAAACCAGCTGTTCTTTCTGTGGCAGCGCTGGATAACTAACACTGGCTTTTCCACCAGAGCTACCCACCTCATAGTTTTCTCGTATCCACAGTTGCCGTTCAAGGAAGGTCTCTTTTTGATGATCTTCTAGGCTGTCAAACTGAGACTGAGACATTTTCATGTACCTTCTTATGATATACAGCTTCTCTTCCACACCGTACTCTTGCCCTTTAATAGTGAAACAATAAATCCACCAACAGTTCCAAACTATGTATTTGCCCAAGTAAAAAGGAGCGAGAAGGATCTGAAATAGAAGGATATCATATATCTTGGGCTTCTGATAACCACCTTTTATATCTATTTTATTTTTAATAATGTCTTTGATGATTTCTTCCTCCTCTTCACGGATTTCTTCTTTAGACCGCCTGTTCTTGCCTTTTTCCTTAGTCTTGTTGAGTAAACCTTGTTGCCTGGCAATCTCAGTAGCTTGTATACGGTATTTTGGCACTGTAGCTAGATAGTTGATAGCTTCATTGTAACTACTCCACCAGCTGAAGAACTGTAATTGAAGAACAGTGAAAGAACAGTGAAAGTAAGATCATGTTTCATACAGACACATTCCTATCCGGAGTTTTACCGGAGGGGTGGGGGTGGCACGGGAAAAAAGCTGTAGACCTTTGACCACAATTACATTGCAGCAAGAGTAAAACCTGAATGTAACAGTGCTTCTGCAGTGTTACAGAAGCTGTAATTATTCCTCCAAACTTAGTAAGCCACCTGGAAAATAGATGTATAGATGTACATGTCACAACAACACACGGTGATGAGAAAGAACAGAAGAGACTGTTCAGATTGCCTTTGTTCACAAGGATACGGCAATCTCCTGAAGGGTAATGGTAGGCTGTGCCAGCCATTCTCAGAAGCCCCCTTAGATTTATAAATAAAGTCGGTGGTGTACGAACATTTCATTACAAAATTGCTACTCGTTTAAAACAGTTAATTAAGCATGGATTAAGTATGTGACAATCCCATTAGTCTGACAGGATTCACTTTACAAGATTTAACATCCCTCTCTGATCTTCAGCTACCCTCTGAATTTCAATGCAGGAAACCAACCAACCAACCAACCCAACCCAACCAACAAACCAGAAATATAGTGCCTGGGGTGAACATGTCTTACTGGGGCAACATGTTTAAAAGGGCAGCATTTCACACCATTCACCAAGACAAGGGGCAGACACATACAGACATTATACAACCTTAACCAAGGCCAAGAAGCAGAAACAACAGAAAGCAAGAGAGAGGTAAAACAGTTTACACAGCCATTTACACTGAATTTGCAATCATCTGCAGCTGGACTGTAGTAAAATGTCTCTACTTACAGGCAAAATAAGAAATAAAAGGTGAAGTGAAACTCTGCCACTGGAAGTAAGTCTGGAGAAAAATTAAGTATTTGGCTGCATATGCCACTGGAATTTGTTATTCCAAGCTCTCAAATTCTGATTTATGTATTTTTAACTTCCAATATCCCACTAAAAAGTGAGCTATCTGCATCACAGAATAAGCTGTATCTTCATCTCTTAAACTTTCTGGGTATTTTTAATGACATTTTGAACCAGTAACCTAATAGATGCTAAAGAATATAGTTAGGCATTTTCTTCCACTTAAATATTTATCAGGAAAAGCACAAGTTTTCTCATCTAGGAGTAGACATCTTCCACTGGGTTGAACCCCACCTAGCAGCCAGGTACCACACAGCTGCAAGCCTCCCCACAGTGGGAGGGGGAGAATCGGGGTGGGGTGGGGTGGAAAAGGTCTAATAGACAAAACAGGTTAAAAAGGTGGGTTGAGATAAGAATAGCCAAAACCAGGACAAAAACAAAGGCTGTTTCACTGACCTTGGATCTACCATCTTCAGAGCAAACTTTGCCGAACTGAATTCACTTCCCTCCTGACTTCATAGCGGTGTTTAAAACACATGGCAGTGTAAGATTCACACATTATTAAGCTCCTGATATTCAGGCCTATGATCTGAATTGATTCTTGAATTTAGTTTCTGTCGTGGTTCAAGCCCAGCCGGCAACTTGGAACCACGCAGCCGCTCGCTCACTCCCCCCCTTTTCCTTCCTCCCCCCGCTCCCGGAGGGATGGGGAGGAGAATCGAAGGAATGTAACTCCCACGAGTTGAGATAACAGCTCTCCAGTAACTAAGGTATAATACAAACCACTACTGCTACCAGTAATAATGATAAGAGGAATAACAAGGGAAAAGGACACAACCGCTCACCACCCGCCGACCGATACCCAGCCCGACCCGAGCAGCGATCTGGGCCTTCCGGGTAACTCCCCCCAGTTTATATACTGGGCATGACGTGCTGTGGTATGGAATACCCCTTTGGCCAGTTTGGGTCGGGTGTCCTGCCTCTGCTTCCTCCTGGCTTCGCCTCCTCTCTGGCAAAGCATGCGACTGAGAAAGTCCTTGGTCAGAGTAAACATTACTGAGCAACAACTAAAAACATCGGTGTTATCAGCGTTGTTCCCAGACTGAAAGTCAAAAACACATCACTGCACCAGCTACTAAGAAGGAGAAAAAATGACTGCTGTAGCTGAACCCAGGACAGTTTCCAATTAGGGTGTTTAAAAAAATAAAAAGTTACATGTGCAGCTTGACAGACTGACACACACTTGGAGCACTATTCCTGACGGTGCTTAGGAACAGGCTGTTCCAAGCCTGCCATGGAGAACTACGTAACTTCTTCAGAAAGGCTGCATTTGTCTCTGTGAAATACCCTATCATTAGATTAAACTAATCTTTAACTTCGTCCAAGATACCAAGGAGAGTCAAAAACTTGCAGAGTACATATGACTTCAGATTTGTTAGGCACACCACACAGAAGTTTACCACAGCAGATAGGAACAGGCACACTGTTTAATACCTGGCGCATTACAAGAGCTGCAGGTACTTCTCTTCCCGTTCAGAAACTCACTGAGTGTCACGTAAACATGAAATTTTACCTGAAACACAGAGATGGCACACACTGTAACTAGAATCACTATTCTGACATCCACTTTAGGTGCCAATCTCCTGCTGTAGTAGTGATAATAATGCCTGTAATACTCTTCAGGATGATCCAACATGTAGTCATAATCTTTACGTGTTTCTTCATCCTGCAGGAAGAGATGAAAAACATGCACAGGTTCACATACCTGTTTTCACTTATTCTGTTATAGCTGTGCTTTACATCTCACTAACAACCATGCTGCAACAAAACTGGCAATAATCCGACTGAGTATGAAGCACAGAGGAAAATCTTCCTTTTCTCATACTCTCAATTAATTTGTCCTCACATTCATCTGCCCACATGCATCTGACATATGTGGTCTTAAATGCATAAGCACGCACTGCATGAAGACATCTAATACTGAAATAAAGACAGGCAACTGAAATCCTCACAGGAAGCATTGTTAATTTCAGAACGGGAAATCCAGATTGACAACAGTTTGTAAATACTGCTCAGGAATAGATTTTTCAGACAAAGAATCTATTAAGAGATGGTTTTACAGATCTTCCAGAGTTAGCTTACGGGGCTGTGGAATCTGTCCAAAGAAAGGCCGTTTCAAAACCTTATTGTTCTCGTTTTCTCAGAGTTTTTCTCATTTTCACCCATGTAATTAAACGATGAAAAACTGATTTTGCCAGCCTCAAGTGTATTCCTTTCCTACCCTAAAAAATAGTTCCCTTTTTTCCTCCCCAAGAGCCTTAAAAAACGTTTCTTTCTTCCATTACCATGTTATGTCTTTGCCAAGCCATGCGTATTTTGCCTGATAAGCCCCCCCTTACAGATCCCATAGGCTACTCGGGTCACTGTTGCTTTCTCGCTTAGAGGTATACCTCTAAGACAAAGTCCAAACAGCTCATTCTAAATACAAAGGGATTTCCAAGCAAACAAATTCTAAATACAACGGAATTTGCAAGGGAACTGTATCCTCCCCTCCTGCACTCTAGGACTGGCTACTGAAGGTAGTTTTTCGGTTTTCCCCCTCTCCCCGAGTGCTGGTAAGAAGCAAGCCGGCAAAGTCCACACAAAGGAACAC